GGAGTGGGGGATGAGCCCCTTTGGCAGCCAAGCAGGATCTGAAGAACCACCCCTCTCTTCCCCTGACTCCCCCACATGTGCCTCCTCATGCCCAGATCTGCTTGAAAGGGAAACTTCACATCTTCAAGTACTTGTCAACAGAAGCTGGACGGCGCGGGGGGTCTGCACTGGGGGACCTGGCCCCATCTCGCCCCCCAAGTTTCAGTCCCTGGTAAGTCCCAGGTGGGGAGAAAGGAAGCCCCTGGACCCTTGATGCCCGTTCTGGAACCAGGAACCCCTTGATTTTCGGTGGGAGGATGAGGCTGGGGATTGCTGTCCAGTATAGAGCTGACCAGATCTCCCTGGCTGACCCCAGCCCAGCTGAGGATTTATTTTCGGGACGTCGATATGATGGTGGGCTGGACTCAGGCTTCCACAGTGTTGACAGTGGCAGCAAGAGGTGGTCAGGAAATGAGGTAAGGCCTTCCTTTCCAAGGGAGCTTGGGGTCTCAGCCCCATGAGAGAACTTCTGAGCCCAGAACCCTTTGCCTGGCACCTCTGAATCTTAGAGTGAGAGAAAGTGGCTGGAGCTGTCCTCTTCCTTCCCTCTCCCAAGTATCCCACGGGAGGGCCGGTCCCATGCAGTAGCTCATAGGCCCTGAACCCCTGTGGACCCCCAGCACTGCAGAGGGGGCTGCCTCCCATCTCTACATCTCTGGCTTTACAGTCAACAGATGAATTTTCAGAGTTGTCATTCCGTATCTCGGAGCTCGCCCGGGAGCCTCGGGGGCCCAGGGAACGGAAGGAGGATGGCCTTGGTGAGTAGGGAGTCAGAGGCCAGTGAGCTAGGGGGATGAGCGAGGGCTGAAGTTCCCCTACGCTTGCTGACGTGCCCCTGGCCTCTCTAGCCGATGGAGACCCTGAGCAGATTGACTTCATTGACAGCCATGTGCCTGGGGAGGACGAAGATCGAGGTGCTGCAGAGGTGAGGGTCTAGCCCATGTCCCTCTTCAGCCATGAGAGAGGAGAGCTAGAGGGAGACAGTGGAGGCTTGGGGGACAGACACTCCCTCAACCCCTCCGCTGTTCTTTCTTCAGGAGCAGCGGCCACCAGAATTAAGCCCTGTGGCAGGGGATGGGGAGAGGGCACCAAGCAGCAGGTACCCCAGAGCCACGTTCTTTTGCTCCCAACTTTGGACCCCTCTCTCTTTTCCCCTGACCGCAGTCCGGTTTACCTCTATGGGCCTGTCTTTGCCCCTCAGGCGGGAGGAGCCGGCAGGGGAGGAACGGCGGCGCCCAGACACCTTGCAGTTGTGGCAGGAACGTGAGCGGCGCCAGCAGCAGCAGCAGAGTGGAGTGTGGGGGACCCCCAGGAAGGACAGGTGTGGGCACAGGGTCAGGGATGGGGCTGTTGCCGGACAGTAGGCCCTGGTGGGATGGACCTTGGAAATGAGTGTTCCAAGGCCTGTGCCCCTCCCTGAGCCACTCTGGGTGGCTTCTGCCTACAGCCTGCTCTGCCCCTCGGAGGGGTGGGCCTCTGCCTTGGCACTGCTAACTCTACATCTCCCTGTTCTCTTTCTAGTTTTCTGAAGCTGGGCATCCGGGCTGCTGGGGGAGGCGCCGCTGCCCCGTCCACTCAGGCCACCTCCAAGTATGTCTCCTCCCAGAACCCCCTCTCTCAGTCCTCCCTACACACCCTCCTCTTGACGATTCCATCTAATTCCCTTTCTGTCTCTCCTCAGCGGCACGCCTAAGTCCACTGCCACCCAAGTGGGGGCTCTAGGGGGACAGGGAGCTCCTGCCCCTGCCCCCAGCTCCCAGGAGGCTCCTACTAGAGCTGGACCAGGTGAGACAGGTAGAGGATGGGGGCACATGTAGGTGAGGGAGTGGTTGGGACCCGGTGGCCTGTGGGAGGTGTGGGACACTGAGGGGATGTCTCTCTCACCTGCCCCTGTCCCCTGGCTCTGGCCCCAGCCACAGCGCCTGCACCCCGGCCACTCGGCTCCATTCAGAGACCAAACAGCTTCCTCTTCCGCTCATCCTCTCAGGGCAGCTCAGGTGGGTCTCCCCCACCCTCCCCCTACCAAGCCCAGTACTACCCCAGAACTAACCCAGTGGTGACCTCTGGGCTTGTGTCACCCCTTTTGGCTTGGGAGCTCTCTGTTGTCCCTTTGTGTTGAAAGTCCCACAGGCAGAGAGGCAGGAGACAGGGGGGCTGGACCACTGGGACCCAGCTCTGAAGTCAATGCTGAGCAGTGGAGACAGCGATATACCCTCTGCTTTTCTCCTAGGCCCTTCCTCACCAGACTCTCTCTTGAGACCTCGGCGATCCCCCCAGGTTCTGGATGAGAAGGAATTAATGGCTCAACTGCGCCAGGTAAGAAAGAAGGTTTGGTGTGGGCGGGTGCTGGGCTCAGCATTGCACCTGCTCCAGTTCCCTGACCTCAGAACTCAGGGCTCCCTTAACTCTCTTTCCCTATCCTGGTACTTCCCTGAGGATGGAAAGGGGCAGGCATGAGGTCTCTGCTGACCTTGGCACCCCCTCCCCGCGCCTCCCAGGTCCTTGAGTCCCGGCTGCAGCGGCCCCTGCCTGAGGACCTGGTGGAAGCTCTGGCCAATGGGGTCATCCTATGTCAGCTGGCCAACCAGCTCCGGCCTCGTTCTGTGCCCTTCATTCATGTGCCCTCACCTGCTGTGGTCAGTTGGGGCCTAGGGGAGGAAGTAGGGGATGGGACAGGGGACTCCTATGGCCTCTCCCTTACCCTCTTCTCATCTTCTTTTCTTACCCACCTCCAGCCAAAACTTAGTGCCCTCAAGTCTCGGAAGAATGTGGAGAGTTTCTTAGAAGCCTGTCGGAAAATGGGGGTGCCTGAGGTATGGAGAGTGTGTTCTCAGGAGCCTGGGGCTGGTCTCCACGATAGAGTGGCGGCATCCTGGGCTCAGCTGAGCACTTTGCATGGATGGCAGGGTTCCATTTGCAGGGGGTGTCTGCTCCCCAGAAGCAAGCACCGCAGTACACCCTGTCCTGCACGTCCCTTCCCTGCATGTCTGCATGTTGACTTGGCTCTGGCCCTGGCACGTGAGGGCAGGGGATGGGGAAGGATTGTCTTGCTGCTGCTGCTGACGTCTGTCTTTTGTCCTTGTCCATCTGTCCTACTCTCCCTTCCCAGGCTGACCTGTGCTCGCCCTCGGATCTCCTCCAGGGCACCGCCCAGGGGCTGCGAACCATACTGGAGGCCGTACAGCGGGTGGGGGGCAAGGCCCCCCCACCCCTCTGGCCCCCCCCTGGTCTGGGCGGCTTCATCCTCTTCTACGTGGCCCTCGTGCTGCTGCTCTGTGTCGCCTACACTCGGCTCCTGGGTTCCTAGGACCTGAAGTCACTCTTCCCTGGCCCTTGCCCTATTTCTATTTATAAGACTCCCCCAAAACCCCCTCCCCCACCCCCCACCACCAGTGGTGCCTTCAGTCCCTACCAAAGACACTAGTGTGCCCTCCCTTCACAAACACTGACCTCAGAGGCCCGACTCTGGTGCCCCCAGACCCTGGGCCCCCAGCCTCTGGCTGCCCTCCTGTAGCCCCTTTCTGTGCTCCTACCCTCCTACTGCTGATGGTGCCTTCATGCCCTCTCCCTGCCCCTTTACCCTGTCCCCCCAGAGGGCTGGCAGGAGCTTGAATCTTTTCCTCCCCCTCCCCCTCCCCCTCCCCAGTACTATGGGGGCTAAATTATCTGTATTTTGTAGAGAGAACTCTATATTTGTAGGAGATGTAGGGGCCCAGGCCGGGTCCCTGTCTGTGTGTATAAATTGTACAGACCGTGGCCGCCTCTGTGTGTGTGTGTGTGTGTGTGTGTGTGTTTGCGTCTGCTCCTGCTGTGACCAGGCCCAGCCCTGGCTGTGCCCATGGGCTATATGTGCCATCCTGCCTACTCCAGCATTTCCCTCTGGAAGTGACAGGCTTCTCCTCTTCCTAGGCCTTGGCCCCCTTTGTCATCTCTCCTGTTATCCACTGGCAGCTTCTTTGCTTCTCATTTGTCCCTAAGCTACGGGCCCAGTGTCTATCCAGGATGCCCCTGTCCTTTGCCTTCCTGTCCCCTGAAGGACCATCCCCACAGTTGGCTCTGCCCAGGCTCCCTTAGGGACTTTGGTCTCTGACTCCTTGCCCTCTGCCGAGGGTAGGGAAGCTAAGTGGGGAAGGGGACAAGAAGTAACTTAATCTGGGCCCCTCCCCCCAGGAGTCCCTGTGCCAGCCCCACCACATCCTGGAAGAGGAGGGGGCCCCAGGAAGGGGCCTTCCCTACATCGCTGCTGTCCTCCATGCACTGCTGGAACGGTCTTAGGGGTTGAGATAGGGGCACAGGGCCCCAAGGTGCCGGGCCCCAGGAACAGAGAAGATGGACAGTGGTCTGGGCACTGCACTTACCAACAAGGACTTTGGCGCAAGGCCCTGGCCCTGTTCTTGAGCACCCCTCCGGCCTGAAGGGTTGGAAGCTCGGCCAGACCTGCGAGGTGGTAGGGGCCTTGCTGCCTCTGGGTGTAGCTGAGGGTCTGGGATGGAAGACAAGGGCGCTGGATGTTATGTCTGTGTCAAGCACAATAAAAGAAGCCGGAAGACCTTGGTTTACCTCCAGGTGTGTGTGTGTGTGTCTGTGAACAAAAAGTGGGTAGGGCATTGCAGGGAAGTGGGCCGCCTTCGCGTACGCGGCCACTGTTACCTCCAGGCAGGGGGCTACCGCGCCGAGCACCGAGTAGGTCGGCCGGACCCGCACCGCCCCCCCGCCAGAGGGCGCCCGCGGCAGCCTGAGTCCCGGCGGGAGCGCGGCCACGTGGCCCGGAAACACGCTGGGCGCCGGCGTCGTGGCGAGGCCTTCTGAGGTGGGCGGGCGACCTCGGGCCCAAAGGCAGAGGCTGGGCAGGGTCCAGGCCACTGAGGGAGGGCTGGGGGCCGGGTGGGGCCGGGGAGGGGGAAGACGGGGAGGGAGGCCCGGGCCCCAGAGATGCTGCCCTGCCCTCCCCCAGACGCGGCATGTTGCCCTGGGCCCCTCTGCGGTGGGGCTCGGGAGAGGAGGAGGTGCAGGAGGAACGCGACCCCTCCACAGGCAGTGACTGGGGCGAGACCTGGAGCTCTGGGGAGGAGGCCCTAGAGGAGCCAGGAACGCCCCCTCAGGACAGGTGAGGGGCTCAGCCTGGAGGCAGTTGGGGTGGACGTCCGAGTGGGGGGCCCTCAGTGCCTTTGCCCTGCGCTTTACATTCAGTCGTCCGTACCAAGGAATGGATGCGGGGGTGGGGTGGGGAAGGTTGCTGACGGTATGAACAGTCACCTCGAACTAGGCACCCTTTGGCACTGCTCAAGGAAATATTCAGATCTGGAAGGGGAAGGCAAGTGGGGAAGGCTGTGACTAGAGCATCTCTATCCTCCCCATCCCACCCAGCCCTCAGCTCCAGTCCCTAAGTTCCTCCAGGACCCTGAGGATTCAGCTGCCACCTGGCAGTCCCCCAGGCCTGGCTTCTGAGCAGTCCCCAGGAACCCCCGGTAGGTACAGGGCCTTGCCTTAAAATACCCCCAAGACCGCTTCACTGACTCCTGAGCCTGTTTTAATCTCTTCAAGTGCCCCCCGCCCCAGCTCCCCTTCCCCCCCAGATGGCTTGGAATGTGGCCCCATCAAGGGTGACCCCGCTAGCACCCTGGGACCCTAACTATGAGGCTGAAGGAGGACCTCAGCAGTGGGTAAGTTGGGGGTGTCATGTGGCTGTGGCCTAGGGGTGGGTCAGGGGTGTCTCGGGAAGAGCTGAGGCTCCAGTGATCTTTCCTGCCCATCCACAGGGGGCTAGCAGTGGGTCAGGCACCTCCTTTTCAGGCCGGACTTTGTGTCATCCGTCATTCTGGCCACTGTATGAGGCAGCCTTCAGCAGGGGCCTCAGGCCCCTGGCCCCTACAACAGGGCATCAGAATGGAGATGCAGGTATTTTCCTGATTGCCCCAGCAGGCAGGTAGGCTACCCTTGGGTCCCCCACAGTGCAGAGCTCGCTGGTGTGGGAACCCCAGCCTGGCCTCCAGTGCCACCCCAGCATTTCCCCTCCCCAGGGTTCCCAGTGCTAAGCTGTGAAGATGTCTTTCTCTCAGACCCTCTGCTGCCCTGTGGGTATCGCATTCCCCTGTACCTGGCGGAGGCCCCTCAGCACGTGAGTGCTCTTCCTGCCCTGGCCTCACCCCAGCCTTTGGGCAGGGCCTGGGAGGAGACACTGCCCCCTCTTTTCTCCTCAGGTGATGAGCTCATTGCAGCTGCTGCTCCCACCGCCTATTATGTCCCCCTGGGTTGTCCCCACCCCATCCCCTGGCTGCTCCACCGCCTTGCTCAGTGGATCTGAGCTGATTGCCCTCGCTGGCCTCCTGCAGATCAGCCAGGGGGAACCGAGACCCAACTCCTCAGTGGCCCTCATACCCCCTGCTGACTCCCCAGATCTTGTCTCTGGTGACCCAGACCCCAGTGGTGACCCCAGCTGTTCTCACTTCCCAGACCCATCTCTCCCACGGACCCCAGATACCCATTCTCCATAGCCTCTCTGTGGGCAAAGTGTGCCCCCACCCCCACTCCTTCCTGAAGGTTCTGTTGACAATAAAGCAGTGTTGGTTTTCAAAGGGGCTCCCTGTGTCTGGTGGCAGAATAGGTCATGGAGGCAGGGATGGGGTCTCTTCCTCCACCACAGCATTGGCTGCCCTTCCCCCAGACTCTAGTTACTCATTGGCCACCTTCTATAGTGGGGCAAAGCAATCCATGGGCCTAAACTCTTTCCAGGCTGACCAAGCAGGGCACCTTTAATGGCGGGGGGAGGTCCACAGTGCAGTCCCCCAGGCTGGGAGTATAGGAGGTGTTGACTCCATCAGCTGTGCTAGGCCAGGAAGAAGGGAGGATTGTGTGGGCATGTGTGGCACTGGGAGAGGCAAACCAGTGAGTAAGGGGGTGGGACATCACTTTCTTGGGAGCACTAGTGGTAAGATGTCTGATGCTACCATTCCTCTTACGCTGGAGCCCCAGGAGTTCAGCCCTGGGGCTGTGTGAGGCTACCTTTGCACTGAGCTGGGGTGGGTTGGGGGTAGCTCTTTGGCTCGGAAGAAACACAGCAAAGGCACTGCAGATGTGTGTGTGAGGGGGGGCAGGTCAATGAGGAGTCGTTATTGGAGACAGGGTGGGGGGCCAAGGCCGACCTGAGGTTCTCTAGTGATGCCGGGAACTTGGCAGGGAAACAGAGGATCAGGGCTTCGGCTGAGAAAGCCCAGAAGTTTGTAGGGGGCAGTTCTAGAATTTTCTCCTTTAAAAGAATCCAACTTATTGGATTTCCCAGGAAATTTCCTGAAGATTTCCCAGGCTCCACAACTGGAAGGGTCTCAAGGGACAGCTGCAGGTCACACGACTTAGAGCCCCTCTGCCGCAGGGACGAGGGTGGGGAGTGGCGGGGTGGGGGAGAGGATGGAGAGGGCAGGGTCATCCGTAACTTTGCCCATTTTCCCTCTCTTCCCCGGGAAATGAGACCCTGCCGCCGCGGGGCCTCCTCACCGACACCTCCCAGAGCTTCTGGAACGCAATGCGCGCATAGCTGTGCGGGCGATACGTGCCGGCCGCCGGGGCTTCGCCGCGCTCCTCCTGAGACGGGACCAGGTCGAGGTCCACGTAGTTGAGGCGGCGGTCAGGGGGCTTCGGCCTAGCAGTGCCCATTGCCACGTAGTCGGGGGCCGCGTAACCGATGCGCACGTACTCCCCGGCGAGCTCGGACAGCGGCTGCGAGCGGGGCTGAGCCTCCTCCAATCCCAGGCTGCCCCAGACGCCGCGATGGGTGCTCTGGAGCCCGAGTCCAGGCTCCACGGCCCCAGGCTTGTAGGAACGAGGCAAGGAGCTCGAGGAAAAGGACCCTGGTGGAAAGCGGCTCATGGGCTCGTATTCCGTGCCCCCCCAGTCCTGGAGCAGCGAGCGAGGAGCAGGGTTGGCGGCGGGCAGAGGGCCCGGGCGATTACCCGGGGGCGCCATCACCATGTAGCCGCTGGCTTCGCCGCCCCCCATGGGCTCATAATCACTCCGAGCTCCCATGGTTATGTAGCCCCCGCCCCGCTCCAATCCCTGGGGGTACGAGGCTGCCGCCCCCAGCCTGGCCAGGGTCTTGAAGGTGGCTTGCTCGCTCCTCTCACCCAGACACCGCCGACGGCTCAGGCCGCTTGATTGGGCCGCGGAGGCCGGGGTCTCATAAAGTTGGGGGACAGAGGGTCTGGAGGCGCACGTCGGGTATTCCCTTGGCATTGGGTCAGCCCTGCCGCCAGCACCACCGCCCGCAAGTCGCTTCATGGAGGCCAGGACGGTCTCGTGAATGCTTTGGGCCACCACAGCGTCGGGCGCCTGCAGCCACAACTCTCCGGGACCCGTGGGCGCCGAGCGGCCGAGCTCCAGGAAGAAGAAGGAGTCTGCGTGGCCGCAGCGGCGCACGCTGAGCAGGGGCAAGAGCAGGGCCGGGGATGCCTGGGTGTCCCTGCAGTGTCTGTCCTCGGGCTTCCGCAGCAGGCTCAGTGTTCCCGAACCCAGGCACAAGCGGTAGCCGCCGCTGCCCAGGCCTCGCGTCCGCCCCAGCCCCTTGGGACGCAGCGTCACGGGCCAGACGTCCTGAAACGGATCTCCGGAGGAGGTGGGACCTGGAAAGACAGCGGGTGGTCAGAGGTGCCTGGGCCGGGAATTTGGAGTTACTGTGTGACGAAAACTGAAAACGTGTAAACTCTTAATGTTTGAACTTGATTTGTTAACTCGGGGGAGCGGGCAGGCTACGTCTGCACCAAATCCACGTGAACCCAAATGCTCCCTCCCGCTCCTGGTAGCCCCATTTCTGCCCGCCCAGGTTGGGGCCTCACCGGCGGCGGCGGTGGCGGCGCGCACCTCAAGCAGGGCGCTGTACCACGCCTGCTGCTCCGCCTCGCTGGCCGCTGCCACGCCCAGGCTGCTGTCGCGCGTGTAGAGGACGATCAGGTGGCGCTGGCGCACGTCCGCGCGCTTGCTGATGGTGCACGCGCCCGCCAGGCTCACGCTGAGCTTGGGCCGCGCTGCCTTGCCGCAGCTGGCGCGGAACTTCTGCTCGCTTTTGTAGCACTCGAGGCGCGGCGGGTCGACGCGGAGCACGAAGAAGCGGCGGCTATGGGACTTCTGCTTCCTAAGGTGGCCGCAGAGCCGCACGTCAGCCGGGCAGGGCCAGGGCAGCGGCAGGCCGAGGGGAACGTCTGCTGATTTGGACTCTGGGGTCGCCGAGGGGCCGCCGCCTCCGAGCTTCATCCCGGGCTGTGGAGCAAGGGCTGAGGCGCGGGCGTAGGCAATAAAATGGCAGGAGGAGGGGCTGAGACAGCTGGGTCGCCTTCACTGAGCCTCGGGAAAAGACCAGCAGAGGTGGGGTTGGGGTGGCGGTGCCCGGGGAAGGGGAGGTCAGCGTCCTGGCAGGTTGGGACCCGCCTTGGTTCCCAGCGTCCCTCTACTGCTCTCGACTTGAGGTTTGGGGTAAGGGGTCCGCAGCGTCCCTCGCTGCGCACAGCGTGTGTCCCAGTGGCTGCAGGCCTGCGACACCCCGGGCTCCTACAGCCTCAGAGGCTAGACCCCGGCAGGTTGCCCGCGCGCGCCTCCTCTCCCCTCCCTTCCCTCCGCGGACGGCTCCCGGAGTCCCCACCCCCGCGAGGTTAACCCTCGCACGCCCGGGCGCTGGAAGTGGAAGCCGGGGTCCTGGGAGCGGAGTTAAGTAAGAGTTGGGAATTCTAGCAGAGGGAACTGAGCTTTGCAGGGGCGGGGAGGTAGAGGCGTCTCTACTTATCTGAGATGACTGTCCCCGGTTTCGGGACCGCAGCAGGGGCAGGGAAAGCTGAGAAAGCTTGGAGATCGTGAGGTGAAAGTGAACGGAATTGTGCCCGCGGGCATTGCGGGCATTGCGCTGGCGGTGACCTCCGCAGTTAGAGGGTGGTTAAGCGGGGTCTACTCTTACAGCAGCAACCTCTCCTGCCTCCCGTCACTTCCCACTCAGGCTCTAGGTGTACAGCACCTGTGTCACCCTGCCCCACTGGGGAGTGAGTTTTGTACTCTTTCTTCCCAAGTAATCCTAGGGGCCATGACCGCTAAGCATTGGGGCTGTATTGTTATTTCTGAGGAACTGGAGGTTCAGTTTCTCCATGGGTTTAGTATGATTCCAGGACTCTTGGAATAAACAAACTTCTGGATTAGTCCCTGCACACGACCAGAATCCCAGTCAAGTGGCCGCTGAAGGAGATCCTGTGGAGGAAGAGGTCACCTCTCCGGGGTACCCCTTCAGGTTGCCCATTGCCCTGAACCCCCTCTCTACCTTCACTGTCCAAAATGCCACCAGGGTACCAGCTGAAGGCTGTGACGACAGATGAAGTGCAAACTCGCTGGTGGAGGTAACGCTTTGCCCCATGCAACCTGAGGTTTGAGATGGGGTTGGGGGGTCTGGCATTTTGCACCGCATTTCTGATACTTCCAAGGACCAATTACTCATTTGGGGGTGATGGCACTGGTCAGTGTACACTCTGCAAGACAAACCAGCAGCTGACACATGGGTAGGGCCTCTGAGGATTTTGTGATATCACTCTCAAGGCAAGTAAAGGGCAGCTGAATGTCAGGGGAGGGAAGGGAAAAAGGTAGGGACGAGATATAACAAGGGTATGGAAGTAAGGGAACCTGGTCCAAGGGCCAGGACAGCCTGAGCTGGGGAGGGTAGGACTTTCCACCCACACTTTTCCACTTCCCAGGCTTGGAAGGGGCTTTTGAGCTGGAGTATTGGAGAAGCCAGTGGTGTGCTGTGTGTGGTAGCTAGGATCCCCACACACCTTATCAAAGGTCACATTGAGGGTGAGATGCAGGGAACCAACCAGCATTGCGAGGATGGGCATCAGGACCAGCAGGCAGGTAGTACCCAGGCCTGTTCCAGGTACCACCTGATCAGCCAAAGCCCCACCAAGGTGCAGGAGAGGTGCTTGCAGCTCAGGTGGTGCAGTGAGACCAGCAGCTTCTGCCACCATTAGTGGGGGTTGGTCAGTGAGAGGCAAATAGGCGATGGATACATAAGATGCCACTGAAACAGGACTATGTTCAAAGCCATGGTCCCTAGAGTGGCTAAGGGCCTGGACATAAGCACCATGTCAGAAGTGGCAGGGACACAAAAGACCTCATGTCTGTAGGCCTCTCCTCCCTTTCCCAGCCTTGGTGCTGCCTCCAGGGGCAGGACATCCATAGGGCCCAAGTACCTGCAGTGCTCCTGGTCTGGGATCTTACTCCCCCAGCGTTGATTTAAAGCTACCCACAGGAAGTTCTCTTCAAACCTACTCTTTCCTGCCCCTCATGAACTAGTCACCTTGCAGCATGAGTCCTTCTGAAATCATAGCTGCAGTCACACAGAGCCCTACAGACCATCTTGTGTTATTCAGCTCCTAGGTGCTGGGTAAAAATAAAGCAGCCTGGGTTCTGGGCAAGCAATAGTGGTAGAGTGGGTTGGTAATCACTGCCAGGTGATTTAGCCTGCTGGCTACCAGGGAAAGTCTGGAGTCAAACAACTGGCCTAATCAGTTGCCCTAGCAACACAGCCCTTGGCCCGACCCAGACCACATTTATCTTAGCCTGTTGCCCTGGTAACTTGAGTTGCTCCCCAGGGGCAGGAACTGGCAGAACCTCAGCTCTCCTGGGTGAGAGCCTCTCCCAACCTGACAGGTCTGTTTGCATCCCTATGCCAGGTGCAGGGAAGCCAAGGGATGAGATCTCCATATTCTAAGTCTCTATGGAAGAAGACTCTTGTTACAGGGGAGGAACTAAAGGAAGGGGGACCAGGATACTTAGGCTGGGCTGTTCCCAGCGTGCCCCTCTTCTGGATCCTGAGTTCTTTCTCCTCTGTAGTGGGAGATGTGGGGACAAAGCCATACCTTTAGCCCAACCTTCAGCCCTTCCCCCTCCACGGCTCCTGGTTTGACCTGGCAGGCTCCAACGTGCAGATAATGGGGTTGTTCAGAGGACCTGGGGGCTGGCTTCCGTTTCCTCATCCAACTAGGACCAAGCCAGAGGACTGTCTGCAGAGCAGTCGCAGCACTGGCCAGGCAGACATTTTGAGGACTTGGTCAGAAGCCTGCTAGGAGCCTGGGTGAGTCATTCTAACCCTGTGGAATATGCAGTGGGGTTCAGATTTGCAACCACCAGGCCAGCAGTGCAGGTGCCCTGGGGGGCGAGTGGGACAAACACAGCCTAGACACTTAGACATTTTCTCTCAGGCCAGGGCCTTTTCCATTCTTTGCCACTTCCTGGAGAGACGAGGCTTGATGGAGGAGGGCTGGGGTCTGAGGTGCTCTGGCTGTTCCACGGCAAGGAAGGCAGCTGCAGTCCTAGTCCCAGTCTGTATCCAGGGACCTCTTGATTTTCTGCCCTGGGCTCTGAGGCTGACCCAGCCTAACTTCTGCCTGGTCACCCAGCCCTGGTCAGTGAGTTGGCTGGCTGGAGTCCATGTCGGACAGAGTGACTGGGAGGAGGGAGGGCAGCTGCAGGGAGGTCCTGGGCCCTAGCACCAAGCTGTAAGGAAAGAAATCCCTGGGAAACAGCATGTGGGTGACTGAAAGGCACAGAAAAAAGACACTTCTGCTCCTGGTCTTTAAATCTCAGTCCCAAACCTCAGTGTTTTTGGAGCTAGGAAGAGGGGAGCTAGGGAAAAATAAGAAAAGGCTCCTATTACACCATAACAGATTTCAGCCTCCCTGGCTGTAAGTGGAGCTCTGGTGGCGTAGTTGTTAAACGTCCGGCTGCTAACCAAATGTCAGCAGTTTGAATCCACCAGCCACTCCTTGGAACCCCGTGGGGCAGCTCTACTCTGCCTTATAGGCTCACTGTGAGTCGGAATCGACTTGATGGCAATGGGTTTTTTTTTTTTTTTTTTTGGCTTTAAGGAGGAAGGATAGAGAGGAAAACAAATAGATGGGGAGAAAGCAAACAAGCAAACAAAATGTGAAAAATCCAGGGAACCAAGAATGGTGGTCCATCCTGGGAGATCCTACCAGGAGATGGAAGGACGGTGGAGGCTGGGAGATCAGGAACGTGCTGTTCCTTGAAGAAGGTGGGGAAGTCAAGCCTGGCTGGGCCAACAGCAGCAGCTGGAGGTATTTCCAGAAAAATTCTCAAAGTAAATAAAGTGATAACTAATCTCCACATCTCCTTGCTGTTTAAGGTCATTAGGTGGAAAGATGCAGAAATTTCAAGAATGAACAGGTTCCTGGCAATAGTGGAAAGGGGAGCAACCTCTCCTGGGGTCTTAAGTCCTAAGCCTCTCCTCAGCCAGGTGAGGTATTTACACCCAAGCAGTCTGTCCTGTCACCACACAAATAGCCCAGACGCCATGGCTGTTGACACAACATCCTAAGATAGAAAGTCTGGGGAGGGGCTGAGACCACCACCAGACCCAGGAATGGTCTGCTCTGATTAGGCTAAGCACCCCACTCTGATCTCCACATTAGAACCTACCTCCTTTGCTCATCTACCCCCAATGGGAACTGCCCCCTCACTACATACCCAACTCCCACCTCTTGTAGATTTAGCCCCTCTCCCATCCGTCCTTTCCACTGCTAACATGGGACTACGGTTCAGACAGGGACTAGCTCTGTCTGGCACGAGTCCTGTCCTTGGCAAAGGCAGCACTGACACCGACCCACGCAGTCCAGACCAATGGAGCCAAGTCAAGATCAGTCATGTTAACTGCCATGTGACCCCTCGAGCTGGCCCAAAGCAAGACCACAGAGGCATTTTCCTTTTCTTTCAAATGCAGTTCTTTTCCAACATTGCCTGCAATGAGCTTTGGTGCTGAGATTTGGGGGTAGGGGAGGCACATGGGAAAAAGAAAGGGGAAAAAAAAATAAACCCCAGCTAATTGCACAAAGCTTTTCCCGGGAAAAGTCCAGGCTCTGGGGTGATCAGGACACATAGCTGCCCTCCCCCTCACCACCTGCAGCTCAGGCTTTGCCAGTCCTTGAGGCACAGATAGGGATTCATCCCATTCCTCATGTCTGGGAGAGGGGGGATGGCTGCATGTATGTGTGTGTGTGTGTGTGTGTGTATATAATTGGCTATATTAGAAAATTCTCTCTATATAAATATAAAACACTGGTATCCAAACATGACACCAACAGCTAACTAAAGTGCTTGACAGGAGCTGGGCATGTATATGTGTAGGTAAAACTATTCATCCTGACTGCCCAGAAGGAGCCAGAGGAGCTAAGAAAGCAAAAAATTCAGGGCCTCCTTGCCCGCCGGGAGGTGGGGGAAACAGGGTGTGCTAGCTGAAGCCAGGGCAGCAAGGGCATTCAGGGTTCCTGGGTCTTCTTGGTCCCAGGGCTGTCTGATCACCATCCTACGTCACCGCCACGCCTCAGCTCTGCCTTTACCCTACTTTTTCCACTGTGTTTCTGTCCATGAGAGAACAGTGTTGGAAAGTGGGGGTGGGTGAAGAGCTGTTCCCATAGGGAATGCCATTCAGGAGAGTGAGCCGGTCAGTGTACGCGCAGCTATCTCTGCCCACAGGTTAGCAGTGAGGGCAGTGCTTGTAGGCTGAGGGCAGGAGAGGAGGAGGATTATGTTCATCATAATGAATAATGTGAAAACATAAATACCATCACTCCTCTAGCCCAGGCCCTGCCTTCACTCCTCGTGGGCCTGCCTGGGTGGAGGCTGCAGGAGGGAGGGAGAAAGCCTCTGGGGCAGCTGACCCAGGAAGCTGCCATTTTATCTGTAAGCCCCAAGCAAAGCATTAGCACCTCCACCATCCCCAAGACACCCACCCTGCAAAACCAGGCCCAGTCTAGGCTCAGGCCCATAGAAATGTCAACAGGCAAGTGGTCACCAGAGCTCTGAGGAGTAGAGGGGCCCCAGAGAGCAGGGAAAAGCCCCCCACCCCAGAACACAGTGCTACAAGAATGGGTTGGTGGTTGGAGGTTTGGAGGCAAATGGGCTTGATGATGATCCAGTCTGGAAAGAAACAAGAAAAACATGTATGAGATTGAGGGATAAAAAATATGGAAGAAATACAGTTCAGGATTCTTTTCTCCCTCAAAATTACTCTGCTGAGGGAAGTGGGGGTAGGGGAGGCATGTGGAAAAAAGTGGGGGAGATAAGAGGCAAACAGAGGGGCAGGGGAGTATGGAGAGGACAAGGCCAAGAAGAGCTGGGCTAGGAAAATACCTAGAAATTCATGAGGAAGGGGTATGAGACCCAACCCACATCTCCCTCTTCTCCTGGAAGTGTTCTGTCCCCAGCCCCCAAGAGGAAAGGCCATGCCCCACACCACAGAGCCATGGCACCTGAGGCACCTCCTCCTCACCATGAACGGGTTGGTGGAGATCCCAGAGGGCTGGCCTAGCGGCCTCTGCCCTGGCTTGGCTGATCCCAAGTCCCTGAAGGAAGAGCCTAGGAGGCAAGAGCAATATCTCAGTGAAGTGAACCCTGCCCCTCAGGCTGGGGTGACCAACTCCACCCTACTCCCTGCAGAGTTGCAAGAGGGGGCCTTCCTAAATTTGGGGAGTAAAAATATGGAGCAGAACCTCTACACCAATGTTCATTACAGCACTTTTCACAACAGCCAAAAGGAGGAAACAACCGAAACATCCACAGAGGAATGGATAGACAAAATGTGCTATATACACACAATGGAATGCTACTCAGCCATAAAGAGAAATGAAGTCCTGAGACATGCCACAACATGGATGAACCTTGAAAACATCATGCTAAGCAAAGTAAGTCAGTCACAAAAGGACAAATGCTGTATGATCTCATGTCAAGTAAGCAAATACATAGAAATCAAAGATTATTAGTGGTTATCAGGGGTGGGAGGGAGAGGGAAAGGGGGAGTTTCTGCTTGGGGGGCATTGAGTTTATGTTAATGGTGGTGGAATGATTTGGAAAAGGATATTGAGAATGGTTGCACAACTTGAAGAATGAAAGCAATGCCACTGAATGTACATGTAGAAATTGTTGAGATGGCGTATGTTTTGCTATGTAGATTTTCACCACAATTAAAAAAAAAAAAAATGGAGCAGAGTCCAGAGTCCAGAGGTAGGCTTGTTCCTTCACTAACCACCCCCTACAGCCAAAAAGGGACTGAGCTCAAACGGCTGGCTCCCTGATATTCACGTGTGTCTCTCGGGTGGGGAATGGGGAGTAGGAAAGAAGGGCATAGTCTGAATCCCTTACCATTCTGCTGCTGAGTCACCGAGGTCTGTGGGGGGAACAGAGGTGGTGGGAAGGTGCTGGCAAAGCCTCCTGTCGGTGGCACTGTCTGGGGGAAGCCAGGCCCAGCACTGCTCATCCCAAAGCCAGGCCCTGTGGAATGAGGGACAGGAGGTACAGGTAAACTTCTGGAAGGTGGGCTGGAGAAGTTTTTCTTAGTCCCTCCAAGATGGGAAAACGGGATATAGCTTTTCCCTAACAAGAGGTACCCAGTGGGAGTACCCTGAATGAGTCATGAAATTCTTTAGCTTCTCATAAAACCCACCAAACCTACCCTTCTCCCTGCCCCTGATGGCCTGTGACATGGACAGCACAGTAGCTGAGAGCATGGACATGGCGCAGAACTGGGTTCAGCTTTCTGCTGCCTATTAAACTGCACAAACTTAAGCAAATTATTATCCTTCTCTTGCCTCAGTTCTCTCATTTGTAAAATGAGGACGGTACCTATCTCATAGGGCTGTTGTGAAAATTAAGTGGCAAATGTAAAACACTTGGCACTGTGCCTGGCACATGCGTCTGCTGTGGTAGTTATTTTAGTCTCTCTTCTTGGCCTAAAGGTTTGGGGGAGCCCCCCCTGCAAAAAAAAGGGTGAGATATGAGCTAGAGGTAAGAAAAGAGAGGCTGGAGAGGGTCAGGATGGGAGAAGACCATAGGACTCTGACTGATGAGGGCAGGGAACAGCGTCATGGTTTCAGGTGGCTTAGGCTTGGGGCCCACAAAGTGAGAGAGGCTGGGCTCCCAGGGGCCCATTGCTGAGGGTTGGAGAAAAAAGAATCATTGTCACTATCGGTCAACACTAGAACAATCTTCAGAGTTGACTAAGGTAAGTTAAAAAAACCCATTGCCGTCGAGTTGGTTCCAACTCATAGAGACCCTTCAGTAGCAGTCTATTTTTTCTAATTCTAAAATTCTCACTCTGTGACTTGGGTGTTTCTACTTTTGCCCACTAGGTGGCCTGGAAATTTAAATGGGTTTGCCCTGGGCTGGTGAAAAGTGGGCAAGGGGAGGAGACTAGTTTTGGAAGGACACCTCTCAGTTGAGGCTGCCTGCCACTCCTCCCCAGGAGAGACGCAGGGCAGTTTGTGACCTGGAGAGTCTAAAAAGGTCAGGGACAGGGGGCAGTCTTACCTGCAGCCAAGCCATTGGGCTGGAAGGGGTTAGTGGAAAGCAGCGGGGGGCGAGCAGCAGGTGCTGTGAAAGGGTTGGTGAAAGCTGTTCAGGGTGGAACAGGATAGAAATAGGAGAAAGAGATAATTTTTTTTTTCTTGCTTGCTTAATACGGTGATAGCTGAGTGTTCCTCTAAATCTTGGTGTGCATCCCCCTCCACTTCCTCCCGTCCAGAGTCTCCAATTTCCTCTTGGCCTTGGATCCCCTCCCTGGGTCTCCACTGGCAGGACTCACCTCCAAAGGCAAATCCTGTGCCGCCACTGCCGCCAGTTGTGGCAGACTGGAGTGCGGGGACTGGGCCAGCCATCCCAAAGACACTGCAGTATGGGGAAAGAAGTCAGCAAGCACGATTCCCACGACACAGGGCATAAGCTGGGCAATGAATGGACCAAGAGACAGCAAACCCTGTCCTTGCTCTCAAGGATGAGACAGGTGAGCAAAGGAGAGGAAAGCAGGGCAACAGGAGTGGAGCAGGCTGGAAAGTCAACATCAGGGTTTCTCAGCAGGCTCTCCTGCCCCAAGGCAACTCCCCGATGTCTGGGCCTACCTGTGAGGAGGGATACCTCCAGCTGACACCCCGGGTCCCAGGATGCTGCTCATGTCTGTGAGGCTGTTAGGCTGGCTGGCAGGCGCAAGAGGAGAGACACCAAATGGAGTCACCTGGCTGCTCCCTAGACAATCATAGGAAATAGAACAGGTTGTGCCTAGGGTGAGACAGGATGGAGGGGGCAGGAGAAAAGATGGAAGTGGGGGTGCCTGTAGAGGAGTGGAGTGATGGCATGAGAGGCACCAAGTGGGTTCTCCTGAGCCAGCCCATTTTTCCTATGGGTCCCCACGTGGTAGTCTGACAGAACAGTCCAAGGAGCAAGAGTTCTGGAAACTCTAAGCAATTCCTCTGACAGGAAGAGGCCTGAGTCTCTGTTATTTTAAGAAAGTCTCTTTATCAGTATGTCAAAGTCCCATCTGTGTAACGGGACCCCATCTACCGTTCTGGGCTGTTGTGAAGGTAAAATGAAGCCACAAATGGGAAAAGGCTTTATTTAGATGAGTGCTGGGAGACTTCTTATTACTGAAGTAAAACAAACTTTGCATAGTGTCTGCCAAATAATGGGTGCTCAATAATTGTTTGCTGAGTGAATGTTTGAACAGGTAGGTGAGAAGAACTGGATTCTGGCTGTGGCTATACCACTTGCTACCTCTGTGACTTTGGCACACCCTCTCCTTGTTCTTCTTGTCATCTCACAGGGTGGGTGTAGAGACCCGATGAGCTAAGTGAAAGTGCTTTGAAGTGTGTGAGGCCCACCACAGATGTGAAGTCCTACCATACCACTAACAAGAGACTACTTCCAGGTGAAATTCAGACATGATAGCTGATGGGAAAAAACTCCTCAAGAAGTAGAAAAGGATGAGATCAAGAGCAGTAGTGAGGGGTTACCTTCACATGGGTTGCCTCTCAGAGACAAGAGGAAGAAAACGGGAAAGAAAAAGATAAAGACAGGAGATGAAGAAGGAAAAGGCAAAGCCAGGCTGGCTCTCAAATCTTCATGGCTCCTCTGCCCCCTAAAATCACAGCTTGGTTTCTTCTCAGTAAAGTTTCGGACTTTTTTCTAAATGCCTCAGAACTATAATTTGAATCTTCATGTGCTTCTTTTTCTAAAGGCTTACGTGGTAAAAACAAACAAACAAACCCATAAACCCACTGCCATCGAGTCAATTCCAACTCATAGTGACCCTATAGGACAGAGCAGAACTGCCCCATACGGTTTCCAAGGCCGTAAATTTTTATGGAAACAGACTGCCACATCTTTTTCCCACAGAGTGGCTGGCCGGTTCAAACCACTGGCCTTTTGGTTGGCAGCTAAGTGCTTCACCACTGCACCACCAGGGCTCCACTAGGTAGTATTTACCCAAAAAAAGTATTATAAGGGCATCATCCAAGTGCTAGGCACAGGGCACAAACACGCGTGAATCAGGGTCTAACTCGGAAAAGACAGGCACAGGAACGAGTGCTGACCTGCGGCCAGGTCTCTATAATCAGCTACTTCTTTTTTTTTTTTTTTTATTGTATTTTAAATGAAGGTGTACAGAACTAGTTTCTCATTAAACAGTTAGTACACATATTGTTTTATGACACTGGTTAACAACCCCACAACATGTCAACACTCTCCCATCTTGACCTTCGGTTCCCTATTACCAGCTTTCCTGTCTCCTCCTGCCTTCTAGTTCTCGTCCCTGGGCTGTTGTGCCCCTTTAGTCTCATTTTGTTTTATGGGCCTGTCTAATCTTTGGCTGAACGGTGAACCTCGTAGTGACTTCATTACTGAGCTAAAAGGGTGTCCGGGGGCTATACTCTCAGGGTTTCTCCAGTCTCTGTCAGGCCAGTAAGTCTGGTCTTTTTTCCTGAGTTAGAATTTTGTTCTACATTTTTCTCTAGCTCTGTCTGGGACCGTCTATTGTGATCCCTGTCAGAGCAGTCAGTGGTGGTACCTGGGCACCATCTAGTTGTACTGGACTCAGTCTGGTGGAGGCCTTGGTAGATTTGGTCCATTAGTCCTTTGGACTAATCTTTTCCTTGTATCTTTAGTTTTCTTCATAGAATGAGCTATTTCTTATAAAGAGTTCTTTATTTTGCTACTCTCTGTCCCAAACCCCTGGGCTTTCTAGATGTACAAGTTCTGGTTCTGAGCTCCCTCCCTTGCTAGGCCATGATGCCACTGTGCATACTTGCTCTTCATTCCTCTCCATTCCAAAGGACATCAGGAAGGCTGGAGAGCCAACAGGGTGATGCTGGATCTTCTACTGACTCTCCAGGCCCCAAGCCTTTCCCTTGCCTGACTAACTCGGGGTATGTGGCATTTCTGAGCTAACGCAGCCCTGTCCTCAGATAGGTTGAACTCTTCTTTACTGCTCTGGGCCTTCATGTTCCAGGAGCTTCCCTCAGTGAGGACCACGTCCTTAACCTGACCAGACTGCAGGCAGTGCTGTGTGCCTCTTTGTGGACGCTAGAGGGCAGAGCCTGTCCTTACCCATGTGGGGTCAGCACCCTGCACAGACAGCGCATTCTCAGAAAGGAGACTGGCCACTAGGAATACCTGCATTGTGGCTTGCTTCTTATACGTGTCCAGAGCCTCACTCTATGCTGCCGAATTTGTACACATCTTACAGTGGTTTCAGGAGACACTGCAGTTCTAGAAATTTCCCCTCTCCGTGCTCCCCCTCAGAAGTATAAAAATAAAACCAGCCTTGTCAGAAGAGACACCCGCCTCTCACCAAAACTTTCGTTCTTACTTCATACCCAATAGTTCTTTATGTCACACTCACAGAAACATCCTCATGATCATGATGTGGTCAAAGTGAATGGAATCTGCCACTTATCTGCCATTGATTCTGGCCAAGTCACTGGCCAAGTTAAGCCAGTTTCCTCAACTACAAAATGGAGATCTTTCCTTTCTCATAGAGATAACATGTGAAAGCTCCTAGCAATGGTACATTGCCTAAGTACATGGCGGAGCCTCATAAATTTTGGCTGACTCTGGATCTGACTGCAGATTTTCTGCTCTTTGAGATGACTAGACACTGGACAATGGGTTCAGTGCCTGGGAGGGCTGAGGGCTGGGCCTCCTTTCTCACCATGCCTTCTCTGGGGTGGAAGTGGGGGTTGGGGTAGGGGAGAGGGTAGAGGAGTGGAGTAGGGTGAAGCGGGTAGTGGGTAGTCCGTCTTTAAAGCAATCAAGTGTGCTAGGAGCGCATTTCTAAAGGGGCCAATTTGAAACAACCTTGTAGAGGCTGTTTCATTTAGCATTTCCATTTCCAGGAACACAAACCTCTTTCTAAATTGGATATTTCCCTACCAATTTACACTCCTACCAACAGTGCCCAAGAGGGCACATTTCCCCACATAATACTGGCCATTATCAATCTTTAACCTTTTTGCCAATGTAATGAACAAAATCATTATCTTATCCTAATGTGCATTTTTCCCTGATTAGTTAGGTTGAGGACATTCTCATATTTTTCTGGGTTACTATCTGCCTGTATTTCTGGTCCATTATTCTTTCTTATTTATAGAAGTTTTTAAAAATACATTATGAATATTAACTTTTTGACCATTTTCCACATTATAAATATCTTCTCCTTATCGATTTCATGGCTTTTTAAGCTTTGTTTAGGATATCTCTTATCATACAGATGTGACCTATGCAATTTCTATTTTTTTAGGATATATGGAGATTTAGTTTCCTAGGATATGGTCAAATTATATAATAGTTATTTGTTTGAAAGTAGTGTATATTCTGTCTGTTGGGTACAAAGTTCTACTTATATTTATTAGATCAAACTTGTTAAAGTATTGCTCAAATCATCTACTTTCTTATCTATCTACTTGACCTATTAACTTTGTGACAGAGTTTTAGAGTCTCCTACTCTATTGGTTTGTAATATCATTGTACCTAATAGATTTTGCTTTAGGAATCTCAAGGCTATGTTGTCAGTTACTGTTAAGTTCATGACTGTGAGAACTCCTTTGTGAATTTTAACTTTTAACAACATAAAATGCCTCTTCTTGTCTCATTCAAAAAAAAGAGACAAACAAACAAAAACAAAGCAACCAGCCAGTCTACAGTGGCACAGTGGGAAGTCTGTGGGCAAAGTCTGGGCTCAGGTCCCAGCTCCGTACTCCGCAGGCTGTACAACTAGGTAATTCCTTAACTGCCTCAGCTGTAAAAAGGCTCAACTCTAAAGGTTCCTTTCAGACCTCAAAACTCCACGATCAGAAGACATGAGATAGGCTTCTGCTTCTCTTAGGTAGGCTGTGGGGTGGGAAGAATAACTTACCAAAACTGTAACTTCCAGTTAGCATCCGACTGGCTGGCAGTGAGGGTGGAGAAGGGAAAGGATGTGGGTAAAGGAAGGGAGAAAGAGAGAGTGTAAGTCAGTCCATCACTGGCTGTTCCCCAGACATAAAGTCTTTATAGCTCTCTAGCTGCCCTCCCATGCTTCCAGGATGTACAAAGGAAGAGGGGCAGCCCAAGGGCTATTCAGACTTGATGTATGGGAGGCTAAGGAGGAACCAAATGCTTTACAGTCTCTTTCAATTGTGAAACAACACAACATAGAGTTAACAGGTTTTTGCTCTTGGAGGGATGGAGTCAGGACTTCTGGAGACTACACTGAACTTTGACCTAACTCTTTGAATCTTTGGGCAGTTGACCAGCATGAACAATCAGAAAACTTTAGAGAAAAAGTCATGCCCATCCTCAGTTTTTCTAGACACAGGTCTTCCATACTTCCCAGTCAGAAATTTCCTAGTGTATACACTGCACAACTCCTGCTAGCCATTTTCCTTTCATAAAAAAATAGAATAGAGTTCCTTCTTCTTGACAAGAATCTGTTAGACTCTTTTCATCCATTCCTTGAGCTTCTTCTCTTACCCTTTTCTCCTTTACACAGTTCTTTAGGTTAGTGGAGAAGTGAATGAAGGGTGACTATGGACATGGAAAGCTGGATGCAGTTGAAAGAGAGAAAGTAAACCAATGGAGTAGTCTACCTGTGGGTGTTGGCTGGGCCTGGAATGGGGCTTGGCCAGCTGGAGGAATATTTCCAAATGTAGAAGAGCTGGGGCTACTGCCAAAGGCATCAAAGTTGGCAAAGCCCCCATGGGAAGGTGTCTGGCCTATAGGTGGAGAGAATATAGTGTTATATATAATGCATACCTGTATCTATATAATAACCCACTGCCACCAACTTGATTTCAACTCATAGTGACCCTATAGGACAGAGTAGAACTGCCCCATAGGGTTTCCAAGGCTGTAAATCTTTACAGAAGCAGACTGCTACATCTTTCTCCCATGGAGTGGCTGGTGGGTTGGAGCCACTGACCTTTTGGTTAGCAGCCAAGCGCTTTAACCACTGTGCCACCAGGGTTCCTTATCTATATATTATATATACTATTAATTCTAAAGGCCAAAGGCAACTCTTATGGGACATCTGCCTTTCCATAGGGTCCTCTTCAGAGGGAGATGGAGAGGCCTGGGGCAGGGCAGCCAGACACACGAGGGAGAAAGGGGCATCTCAAAGGCCTCCAAGTTCATTCCCCACCATCTTTTATCCTTATTCCAGGAGGTATTAACATTTTGTTCAGGGCCTTGTTTTGGGCAGAATCACCATGAGAAAAATTTTTTTGTGTGTGGAGGAAGGAGGCAAAAAGGAAAAACAGAAACTGGATACTACTTTGTTCAACCCTCTATTGGCTACTGCTCATCTTTGGGAAGAGGGTAATGGAAATGAAACACAAGATAATCCCACTCCCCTGCAACCATTTTAATATAGAGAGAAAGCAATAAAAAGGTTATTTCCAGTGTTCTAAAAGGAAGTGCTGGGAGCTCTCAACTCTAACATTATACAGCCAAACTCCCAAACACAATCTCTGCTGTACATATTTGACTCCAACTCTCCCAGTCTTGAAGCTTCAGAATTACCATCACGTTCATTCACATGAAGAGATCCGTGTGAAATCTGGTTACCTCAGGGAGTGAACCCCTTGTGTTATGGGTACATACATTGAAGGAAGGTTGTCATCCCAAGTCCCACTTACCCGCAAAGGCTGGGAATGCAGCAAAAGCCGGTGCCGCCTGGGGAGCAGCAAACGGGTCTCCACCGATGTCTGCCAGCAGGTCAGTACTGGCCTTCTTGACAGAGGAGTGGGGAGGTGCCTGGGAGCTCCGGGGCTGGGCTATCCGAGCCTGAGACTGACTGACAGACTTGCAGGAGAAGGAATAACATACAGAACTCTATCCCAGACATGACCCAAGCCCCTCCATGATTCCCCAGGCTGCCCCAAGATAGGTAAGTGGAGAGGGAAGAATGTGAATAATTGCTTTCAGCTTTCTGGGCAGAGGCTGCCTTAGCCCCTCTCATACCTAATTCCTCTACCTTCTAAGTATACCAGCTCCCAGAACCACACATTTTAGAGTCTATTAGTCAAGGTTACCCTGAGATCTACAGGAATGCTGCCAACCAGTCTCCCTGGTTCTTTACTTCCTCACCTTTCCCAGGTATTTGAAGCAGTGTCCTGATCCCAATATCCCTTCTGTGTTTCCTTGGAAAGAATGGAGCTGATGTTCTGACTTCTCCAAATACCACTTCCTATTGGGTTCTTTCTTCCAAAAAGGTAGGAGTCCAGAGGTGACAGATGCAAGATATAGGTAACAGCAGGGCTGAGAACCAACTTACAGCTCTTGTACTGCTGTCCACCAAGTCCAGGGGATTTGATTTAGGACAATGAAAACCTGTCTCCTAAAATCCAAAATAAACTTGAAGACCTGACAGTTACCTGGTTAGAGGCGGAGGCAGCAGCCGATAGAGATGGCACAGGATCACCCAGAAGTGTCCGCAGGGGCTTCCCTTCTGGGACGGAGCCCTGAACAGGGGCGGAGGCACTGCCTTTGGTATAAGTGGGCCCCTTTACTTGGTCTGGGGGGACATACCTTTGAGAAAGAATAGTTAAGCTGAAAGGAAAGGGATAAAACCTTGGATCATCCTCAGCTTGGGTGCTTGGGAAAACACAGGTTACGGCAGTCAAAGTCCTATCTCATCTTTTCTCTACTAATTCCTTTTTCTGAACTAAAGGGAATTCTACAACTTAGCAAAGTTCTGCCCATCTTGAGCTTCCCCTTTACTGTCAGATGCTCATTTTTTCTGCAAGAAGGTTCAGTTTGTTCTGGCTTATGCCTATTTCTCCCTCCTCCCTCCTCTTTTTGACACCTCAAACCATCTGTGTTTAAAGTAATAAAACATGCAATAATACTGATGGATGGGCGATCTTATTTTCCAACTTCCTACTCAAGACTTCCCTTTTTATTTCCTGAGTGCTTCCTCAGACTCCTCCTTCTCAGTCCCACAATAGAAGTTTCTGCCACTTCATATTCCAAGCGCTCACAATCTATATTCTATCCTGTCAGCTCCTGAAACTCCTGAAAAATCCCCTTCCTTCACTTTTGGTGTAGGTCCCTACTCTGGAAGTATCTTCTTTATCCTGAGGACACCCCCAGAAGGGACTCCAAAATGCTGTTTTATACACATCATCTGCCTGCTCTCTGCATTCCCTTCTCCACCCTACAGTTATCAAACAATAAGAAGAGACACCTGGGGAAGGAAAAACCAAAGGAGAATGCAGATGCTATCTTCTTCATCGGGAAAACAGAATACATACATAAAAAATCATGAATGAAATGATGTGTTAAAAGCATAAAGCTATAGGAAGTGAGCTTCTAGCTGTCTCTCCCCATATATGAGATGAGCTATAAAAATGAATATACACTCCCACAGGCTTATCTCCCCATTCCAACCAGTCTACTGTCTCCCCAAAAGAAAGGATATCAAAATGCAGGGTTAGTGACTCAGAACAAGTTGTCCTTTCATGTAGATTTATTATTTCGAAGTCAGAATTTAGCCCTAACTGAATCTGAATACTACTGACTCAACCAAAGTTTAACCTTTGACAGAAGTCCAAATTCGACTCTGGAAATTGGACTGTCAGTGAAGCATGTCTGACACACGTCTCCATAGCAATCTCTTTCCTCCTCCTTACCATCTCTTCTTCTCATATTTTTCCTGGAGAAACTCCTTCACCTTCTGAGGATCCCTGGAATCTGGTACTAAAGATGTCCGGGCATCAAAAAGACCCAGCCAGATCTTCCTGCAAACCTAAAAGAATGGAGTCAGGTTATACAGGAGTTGGAGCAGACAGCATGAAATGGGAAACATCCTACTTCCAATTTATTCATCAATGAATATTTATGGAGCATGGACACAGTGCCAGGATCTGGGTATATCCACAAAACAGACATGCTCCCTGCCTTCAGAGATTATAATCGAATGGAGAGGTTACGCCTTAGATAAACAATTTATAATTACATATTGTAACAAATGGAAAATAGAGGGCCATGAGAATTATGGGGAACTAAATTTGGGAGTGGGGTCAGGGACAATTTTCAGAACTGTGGCTTCCAGGACATCCTCCAGAGGATCTTGTTTACACCCCCCAAGTTAGTCAATTACTTATAAGCTAGAGGTACTGCTAACACCCAGGACGTCAACTTACAGCCAGCAGATTTAGCTGGGGAAGGAGTTTAACTTACTTTCAGGTAAATGACATAGACTTAAGCCACGGTTGCCCAGGCTCCTGTCAACAGAGCCAGCTCCATGGAAGTCTTACTCAGAGGGGCTGGCCCAGTCAACTGAGAGCTCAATTAACACAGAGCTCTTGTTTCCCTCTAGAGCACCTGGGATCAAGCCCTACAGAGTTATTGCTTCTTCCCCTGCTTCCTCAAGCAAGGGGCCTGAATAAACCACAATTTGTACAACTAAGAGTCTGTAAATATACAAATATATATTAAGACAAGAAGCCTAAATATACTAAAAAAAATAAGAGAAACTCAACTCAAAAAGAAAAAGAACACCGTAGCGTTTTTTCTATAATCTTGAGGTAAAGCTCCATGGGCAGATAGGGCAACCACAGCCTTCCAGCCATTCCATCAATGGTAGCTCACCTCATTTCCACGAGATTGAAGGAATATTACTTCAGGCTCAGTGAAAGTTGTCATGGAGATGGACTTGACTCGATGAGGGGGGTTCAGGCCTCGCCTATGGGATATAAGTACAATGCAGTTAGCACTGCAGGTCGGTTTATGACAGAAGGGGGAGGGAGATAGGATAGAATAACAGCACATAAATTAAGCTCAGATAGAACCTTTTCCTAAAGCTACTTCCTATTTTAAGGAAAGAAGGAAAACAAAAATATTTTAGAGGCTTCTTCTAATGAGAGGCAGGGAAGAAACAGTCAGGAACATATTGTGATCACGGTCACTCTGGAGAGGGAGGGTAAAGCTTGCCCATCCAGAGCCTCCTCTACCTTGGCTCAGACCCCAACAGTTTCAATGTTCAGCCAGCAGGCCAGGGGGGTACTTCTGAGAACTCAGACGTGCAACCAATCCTCATTTCCTATTTTATCATTGTTTTGAACTTACAGCAAACATCCTCAAGGTCCCAGAACTCATGAAAACACAAATCCCTCAAGCATGAAGGTAGGGAAAAATAAAGTCCTGTGACTACTCCTGATAAACTAACTAAAGATAGGATTTAGTGACAAAAAAACAGAGTCCCTAGGCTGGCTGCTCCTCCTCTTATGTATACAGAAGGCAGAAGGGTAGTGGGGATAAAGAGGGTTCCTTTTCTTTAGGAAGAGATCTCTGAGAAAAGAAATGTACCAGACTTCCTTATTTCTAGATCTTTCAGTGAAGCAGGAGGAAATCAAATTCAACCACAAGATATGAGATTGGTACATGACAGGAACATACACCCTGTAGCAATGCTTTTGTGCCTTCTCTGTGAGTTCTGTTAACTCCCAGGGAGTCCATTTCTGCCCACAGAAACCTTGTGGCGATTACATCAGAGAAGAAGGTTTCCTTGCCTCCACTCAACTGGACTCCTGAGGGTTCTAACAGAGGAACTTGGAGCTGAGCCAGGCAGGATTTCATAGGTTCCCCTTTCCTTACACCTGAAGTTTTGCTCTGCTGTAGACCTACTGCCCTCACTGGAACAAAACAAAACTGGCCAAACCAAAACAAATAAAGTAGACCCCGGGGACCAGGAGAGGAGGACCACTGGAACTTGATATGTGGCACAAGCAGGAAAGATAGTCTCAACTGATGGGGCCTCTTCAGATTTTTCTCCCCTGGAAAAAGTGGGCAAATCAAGATGTTAAAATATAAGTAACTCTAGAATAGAGCCTGGCTGATGTCCTCAGGAAAGCAAAGGGAGAAGAAGAGATAACAAAATTTACCAAACAGAAACTCTAAAAATTCATAAAGAAGTTGGGGAAAACATACATTCATGCTTCCAGGTGCACATGTAGAATTACGGTACTCCTGCCAAGTCTGGGAGAATGGCAGTGTATTTATTAGTGTAAACAGAGGGGCGAGGAGGGAGGAGACAGATGACACTGTACAGAGTGAACAGAAGGGCGACTGCCCTTATGGATGATAAATTACTGACTGTGGGGTTCTAACAAAAGACAGGACCCTGGAGCATATAATTGAGGGCATTTTCAGTAACTCTGCTAGACTTTCAAGTAAAACGTCTCGAAATACCCCTTTAAAAGACAAGCACTATCAAAGAGGACTGATGCCCTAAGGAAAGATAAGAGCAGGGAAAACCAAAAGCAAGGCTTTGTTACTACGTGTCAAACAATAGCTCTTAAACTTGATCTGCCTTGAAGACTCTCTTCTGATCACATTTCAGAGATATTCCAGTTTTCTCTTCTAAAGCCTCTCTTGCTAATGACTTGGTTTTGCTTTGCTTTTAATTCCAGACTGCCTGGTTTTATACTCTTTCCTTTGCTCTTTCTCACCTTAACTACTAGTCCCTACCCCCCACCCCCCACCTCCGAATGCCAGGACTTTCTAAAGTCTAGCCAGAGCAGGCCTCTCTATGATCCCTGTCCTTTCCTTCACCTTTGACTAATAAATATTTGCCAAAATACAAGGCATTGTGGTAGGTACTGAGGATACAAAAACTATAGGAACTAGCTCTTTATCAGCAGAAGCTTATAAGAAGGACCCAGAGAAGCCCAGGAAGGGTGCTTCTCAATGTAACCAACAAACTAAACTCGCTGCTGTCAAGTCGATTCCCACTCATAGAGACCCTATAGGACAGAGTAGAACTGTCGCATAGGGCTTCCAAGGAGCGGCTGGTGGATTCGAACTGTCGACCTTTTGGTTAGCAGCCAAACGCTTAACCACTGCACCACCAGGGCCCCACTTCTCAACGTAGTAGGGGGTCATTTAGTCCATCAGGCACAGAAAGTTCAGGGAAAAATGTGACTTCAGGATGCAGTGGGGGGAAGGAAGAGAAATGGTCACGGGAAAGATAAAATGTATTATGTTTACACAAGAAAAACAGATTCTAAACCTATCACAAAAAGTTCATGGACATTTCCTGAAAGGACAGCCTGATACTGTTAGTAAAGTGCAACATAACAGGGAGGTGTGCTTCCTTGTTAGGAGGGAGAAGGAACTCTCCGAGGCATCAATCAAGACGGGTGCTTAGAACACCTGAACTTCTATGGCTGAGCTAGTACAGGAGGTTTGGTTTTGTTTTTTTAAGGGGGTGGTGGGGTGGGGGAAGACAGAGAAAATAAGTGATCTAGGTGCTTTGGGCCAAATGAGTCTGATGGAACAGGATGTTTCCACAGCACAGTACAAAAAGCATTGCTCTGACCTTGATCTCTGTAGACTGGATTATATACAACCAGAGCCACAGCTTGGGGGCAGGGAGAATTCTCTACAAGGTAACACTGCAGCCCAGGAAAAGGGCCTAGTTACATGGCCTATGAGTCAGAGTATTTGTTTCTGAATCATAGAGAGGCCATGCTGGCTGTGAGAAGCAATTCTGAAACAAGAACCCCCTTCCTCCCAGGGTCTTTCCGAAAGAAGTGAGAGCTTGAATCGAAGGAGGCATTGCCCTTCCAGTTATCATGGCAAATCCATTCTGCCAGGAGGCTCTAGGAAAATATAGAGATGTATTTATTTTCCCAGAACAGGGCAAGTTTTTCCAAATGAAAGAAAGTTACTAGGATAGAAGCCATATTTCAGCCCAGTCACGCTGTCTTCATCTACTTCAGTTTCTTTTTCACAGGGCACCTACATGGCATCGAAGTGTTCTGAATTACTCAGCAAATGAAGCCATTTGTAGTAGATCCTAAAGTCAGCCTGATTCATTCTCTCTCTTCCTCTCTCTCCTCTCCCCTTTGATTCTATTAAGCATACTAGTATTTTCACAAATACCACATCTTTTGTTTTTCTACGATCATCACCCTCAAGCTGGCCCATATTTTGCTTCTATCTTGCTTCATAAAAGCATCAGACCTGTTCAGCTGCTCAGATAAGAGGGTTTTGTCAGGTCAACAATGGAAAAAGCCAGTTCCACCCAACACCTAAGTTCTTTTATTTGTGCCAAATTTAGATTTGGGAATTCCTTGCCTCTGAATATTTGCGATCAAATTCGTACACCTCAGATTGTGTTTCTTTGCTCCTGGGATTCCACTCCTCTATTTCTGAGCAAGCTACAGCTAAACCACTTTAGCTCTTATCTTGAACTCAAACATCACCAAGAAGAGTCCAGGCTCCCCTATTATCTTGCTCCTGACCCAGGATCAATTTCACCAATTTTAGGAAACCTCTTCCTAATCTAAATTCTCCAGCTTCAACCTATTTCCTCTAGTTTTTCCTCAGTGGCCCCCCTCTTCAGGCTCAATCTCAATACTTTTTCCATTTTTCCCCTTTGGTAATTTACTTCCTTAGAGGCTTTTCAAGTTGTCCATGTGCCCCTTATGATAAAGTGTCTAAATCTGTAATTTAGTGCCTCTCTGTCCACCTCTGCCCAGCACAGGTAAATATAAAAAGTGACATGGGTGGAGATTGAGGGATGGGACTAAAATAGGGGCAAGGTACATTTGTACTTCTCCAACTCAGATGAATGGAAAAGTGCTGACTTACTGAACAACATACTATACTTTTGCTTCCATGGAGATAAAAGTGCTTCAACTAGGAACCATCACTAGTAGCCAGACAGAGAAAATACGAACAGGAGTGTAGAAACTTGTCATAAAATAAACAGCTGACAAGCACATCTCTTGACATCCAGCCCAGAGCTCTGTCCAACTTGATTTTGACTCTATTATCGAAGTCAAGTTGTAGGTAAGTAGAAGATACAAGTATCCACTACTGAAACTGAAGGGTGATGGATTAAAGGATGGACCCAAACAGCCAGGTCAGGGAAGCATGTCACATCCTTTGCTGAAAAACTGAATGTCAAAGAGTAGTGTTCATCCCTGATGTCAATGAGATCTCAGGCCTGAACATGCATTTTCTTTCTAAAGAAGAGCGGTTTATCCATAGAGGCATCCAGGCAAACCAGAACAAGAACGAACATTTGAGGCACTGCTTTAGAAATAGATCCTTTTTAGCAGCAATTTTTGCCCCATCCTAAGCTTCAAATGACAGATTCGTCCTCTAGTAGAAGAGTTAGAAATATAACTAAACAAACACACATATGTATATGTTGGGGAAATAAAAAAGATCTATATCCAGGTTAAGGAAATTAGATGTTGGATGAAAACAAAATGAATAAAACTAGGTCAAATTTGGCAACTATAACTGTGGCAGCATGTATGTAAATTTAGAAACAGCAGAAACTAGCAGCCTCTTTCTCAGGCCCTCACACCAATGCTCTAAGTTTGTGTTACAGCTGATAAAATCTTTCTAATTAAAAAAAAAGAGAGCAAGAATGAGCTCACACATGCAAGGATGAAGCCACAGTCATACGCACCCACCACCTTTAAAATACGAATTTTTCTTCAGATCTTGGGAAATTCAACTTTGCTGGAACAGTCAACTTTGCTATTAGCCAATCCAGCCAGCTGGGAACTCTGGTAATTCTGCCAGCTGCCCCCAGAAAACTCCATACCCCTAAGAGGTAAACATAGGTGTAACATAGCAGAAAACTGGCTTTTAAAATAAAGCCAATTCTAAACCATATAACTCTTAGAAGAAAATAAAGGGAAAAATCCTCATGACCTTGGATTT